CACACACACACACACACACACACACACACACACACACACACACACACCAATCCTCCCAGCACACAGACTTTGCACAAGATGCTAAGCTTGGTGGATGCTGGCTTTGGGGGGGGGTTGGGGGGGGTGTCTCTGCCCATGTGGCTACTTTGCAGTCCAAAGGCGCCACTCGGTCAGTAACCGAGCGGGGCTTCTTTCTTCTTCTTAGGGAGCTTCGCTCTTGACCTGCAAGGCGAACGATCCAACGGCGGGTTTTCTTTTCCTGCCTGCGGAAAACTTTTCTCGGAGTTGGCAAAGCGGCCCGAGGGAAGCCAGCGCCGTCCGTCCCTTCGCCACCAGCTGCCGAGCCCCGGGCAGCTCGCCCAGGCTCCGCGTCCGGCAACGCTCGCCCGGCCGGGCTGCTCGCTCCCCCCTCCGATTCCGGCCTCCCAGCCCGCGCACGAGTCGCCCGGACCGGACCGAGGGGGAGGCAGGCGGGCGGCGGGGCTCCGGGCCCGGCCCGCTGGAAGGCCGCCGCCCCGCTCCGCCCGCGCCTCCCGGGGCCTCGTCCTCGCGCTCCCTTTGCCCGGCTGTCAAGCCGAGCATCCTCGGCCGGGAGCAGCGCAGCGGGGCGGCCGGAGGCGCTTCCCGACCGCGGCCAGAAGCGGCCCGCCGCGTCCGCCGCCACTCACCTGCCGGGGGCTGCCGCTGCCGGGCTGGCCGGGGACGCGGGGCGGCTGCTGCTGCTGCTGCTGCTGCTGCGGGCGCGGCCGGCCGGCGGCGGGCGCGAGGTCCCGGGCGGGCCGGAGGGTGGCGGGGGGCTCCGGCGGGGCTCCGGCCGGGCTCTGCCAGCCGTCGTGGGGCGCCGTCCGCTCGCGGCGCAGCTCGGAGCGCAGCTCCAGGTAGCAGCCGAGCGTCAGGAGGTGCAGCGCCAGGGAGAGCGCGAAGAAGCCGGCCACCGCCCGCCACGCGCCCGAGCCCCGCCGGCCGCAAGCGCAGCCCCCGCCCGGCCGCTCCGCCTCCAGCGCCCGCCCGGCCCGGGGAAGCGAACCCATCGCGCCGGCCCGGCCCTACTGCGGCCGCCCCATCGCGCCGCGCCGACTCCCGCGCTGCCCGCCCGCCGCCGCCGCCGCTGGAAGTTTCCCCGCCCGGGGGAGGGACGGAGGCCGGAGGCGGGGCCGGCCGGAGACCGCCTCTGCCGCCGCCGCGCCCGCCCGCCCGCCCGCTCCCCTCGCCCCTCCTGCCGGGCTTGGGTGGGGCTGGGGGGGGTCGCCGGGAAGGCCGGGCGGGCGGGGTCCCGAGGGGCGCGAGGGCTGCAGTAGGAGACGCCCCCTTGTTCCTCCGCGCTGGCCCTGAGGGGCTTCGACCGTCGTAAATGCGAGTCAGGTGCCCAGCGCATTTTGGATTTGGACCAAGCACCTCAGGGCCCTTGTGACTTTGAAGGGTCACTAGACACACTGTTGTAAGTCGAGGACTATCCTGTTTGAACAGGGGGCTGGACTAGAAGACCTCCAAGGTCCCCTTCCAAGCTCTATTCTGGTTCTGATCCTGTATCACCTTCCAAGGGCACCCCGGAGCCTGGCCAGCGGTCAGTCCAGCTTCCACCTCCACCAGACCTCTGCTCTGCTGGGGGACGGTTGTTCTCCTCTGGTCACTTTTCCTGGTCATGGTAACAAGGGCAGGGGGGTCCCTGGTGCTCTCTGAGCCTGGTCGTCCCCTGGCAGACCTTTCGTGACCGAACCTGGGTGACAACAGTGCTAAGACAGCTGGTCCTCGACTTACAGCCACCATTGAGGCCAACGTTTCTGTTGCTAAGTGAAACGATTATTAAGTGAATATTCCCCCTGTTACAACATTGTTAAGTGACTTACTGCAGTTTTTTTTTTTTTAAGTTTTATTGATTTTAACAACAAACAAAACCACATAAAGCATACGACATAAAACATAAAAACATCCTCCTCCTTCATAGATTTACGAACAGTGTATCGGTTGGTTTACCATTTTTTTGTGTGCATCCATTTCCTAGTCGCCATTATAGTTATATTACATAATAACTCATATTATCAATCAACAATTGTATAACCTAGTATCATTACTGAACAATCATTTGACTATAATTTTATTAATTCATACTTTAACGAGATAACTATAATTTACTTAATTTATTTTACAACAAATCATAAGACTTACTGCAGTTGTTAAGTTAGTAACACCGTTGTTAAGTGAATCTCCATGGACTTTGCTTATAAGAAGCTCCCAAAAGACATTGAACTATCAACTTCCAAATGGTGGAATGAATAAAACTGAAAATATAAACTGTGCTATGATCAGATGCATAAGACATCAATGACAACATTTGAATATGTGGGAATGATGTTGAGGAGACCAAAAAGTAATCAAAATGTTTTTTTAACGCCCAATATAACTCTGTGCTTTAATGTATAACAAATGCTAGGGAATTCTAGTTGCATGTATCCATTTTAATTGAATTATAATTCTTGTTCATAATTTTTTTATGAATGGGAATTTTTCCCATAGCGTCCAAATCCGAAGTCTCTTTGGAGCCTCCTCTCATAATAATATAACCATAATACACAGTTTAAAGGCTTCCGGTCACAACCGACTCAAGGGGCCGATGCGCCTCTCCAATGCTCAGCCAAGGGAGCCTGTGTGGTCGAAGGCACGTTTCCATCATCCTGTGGCCAGCATGAAAAGTGGGAACACAGTAAACCTCCCACTGAAATGGTACCTCTTTATCTACTGGCACAAATACACACACACATATGAAGAATTGGAATTCTTTTTATTGGCCAAGTGTGATTGGACACACAAGGAATTTGTCTTCAGTGCAAAATGCTCTCAGTGTACATAAAAGAAAAGAGACATTCATCAAGAGTTGAGAATCATCAGGTACGACACTTAATGATAGTCATAGGCAATCAAATCATACTAGGAAACAGTCAATATAAATCATAAGGATGCAAGCGACAAAGTTCCAGTCCTACAATCACAAGTGGGAGGGGAAGGGTGATAAGGAGTGATGAGAAGATTAACAGTAATAGTAGTGCAGACTTTGTAATAGGTGAACAGGGTTGTGGGAATTATTTGTTTAGCCGAGTGATGGCATTCAGGGAAAAACTGTTCTTGTGTCTAGTTGTTCTGGTGTGCAGGGCTCTATAGCGTCGTTTTGAGGGTAGGAGTTGAAACAATTTATGTCCGGGATGTGAGGGGTCTGTAATTATTTTCACAGCCTTCTTTTTGACTAGTGCAATATGCAAGTCCTTGAATGAAGGCAGGTTGGTAGTAATTATTTTTTCTAATTATCCTCTGAAGTCTGTGTCTGTCTTGTTGGGTTGCAGAATCAAACCAGATAGTTACAGAAGTGCAGATGACAGACTTAATAATTCCTCTAGAACTGGATCAGCAGCTCCCTGGGCAGTTTGAGCTTTCTGAGTTGGTGCATGTGTATATATGTATATGTATAGGTATATATATATGTATATGTATGTATGTATATGTATAGTATGTATATGTAAGTTTTCGCGGGTACTTACATGTATGGCATTCAGCTTCGTTCGGGTATTTTCCCACATCATTGTAGTTGTGCTTTTAAAGTTGTAGCAACGTTTCGGCAGAATCTCATCTGCCATCATATACAGAAGCCCGATGCTTATGACTGAGTTAGAATTAAGATGCTGCTGCTCCTGGGATTTAATATTTCCATTTAGCTGCTGAGTGCTTTTGTCATTGGTGACCCAATGATGCTCTACATTTATAGCCTGGTGGTGGCCAGTCTGGATTGGACTATACAGATGTATGGAGGCAGGCAAACAAGCCAGGCAAACAAAACTGTGCGTGTTTGGCATCTCAAAGGAATGTTTAACATTGCATGTTCCAAAATCTTTTGACCCGACTTTGCTGCTGATTTGACCACATACTTTTTCTCTGCTGGACCAAGGGCCACAGGCATTAAAATACATCTTGGCCTTCCTCTTTTCCACCTATCTTCGTTCTTTTTTCTTTTCTAACTTCTAAGGTTCAGTTGGACAATTGCGGCTGTTGCGCGCCAATTGCCAAAAGTCAAGTTATTCATCCAAACTTACATAACAGAGAAGGTGCTGTTTCAATTTGTTTAAAAAAAAAAGTATGGTAGTTTTGTAAAGCTATTCAGACAAATATTAAATCTGAGGCAAGTAAGTTTCATAAAAATGGCAATTACTCACCTTACTTTCAGCACCTAATTAAAGCACAATTTGGCACGAAGCGCAGCAATGATTGCCAAAACCCACATTTTGAAGATTTCAGCTCTGCCCTATTCTTAGCCAATAAATTCAACATCAACACATGTTGAATCATAAGCCTGCGATGCCAGCGATCCATTTGGTGGATGGTTTTTCTTACAGGTTTTCATGCCTCCTCTTGCAAACTCTGAGCACAACTCTCATGACTAAAGAGGAGACACGCACGGTTGTTGGTGTTTCAATGGGCTTTTCTGCTTTCTGACTGCCACTCCAGTGGACCTGCTCTTTCAGCTTCCTTGCCCCTGCTGTGCTGCCTCAGGTGCCTGGCAGTAGTGACCAATCCATCCATCACGTCCTGGGGACAGGAAGGCTGGGGCCTTCCCTAGATCTGCTTGTTGCCTCTCTCTGTCCCTTTTCCTTTGCTTCGGGGTTTGTTTGGCCTGATCCTATTCGCAACTGCGGAGGGAGAGTGACCCAAATTTTAAAGATTAGATTCAACAATCTCGATCCTTGTGGATTGAATCACCTGAGCTCAAGAACGGTTACAGTAATTGGGCCTGGCCAATCTAGTGAAGAGAAGGACCAGGGGAGACATGAGAGCGGTCTTCCAATAGTTGAGGGGCTGCCACAGGGAGGAGGAAGGGGTCAAGCTATTTTTTAAAACACCCGAAGGCCAGACAAGGAATAATGGATGGAAACTGAACGAGGAGAGATTCAACCTGGAAATAAGGAGAAACTTTCTGACAGTGAGAACCATCAACCGATGGAATGGAAGTTGCCTTCAGAGGTTGTGGGAGCTTCAACATTTGAGGCTTTCAAGAAGAGACTGGACTGCCACCTGTCAGAAATGGTGTAGGGTCTCCCGCTTGGGCGGGGGGTTGGACTAGATAACCTACAATATCCCTTCCAACTCTGATTATCTGAAAATCTGAGCTACGAGATAGGCAGAAAAAAAGACATTTGATAAACCAACAAATAAAATTGAAGATTGCCCTAAAGAACGAAAGGTGCTAAGCTTTGAGATTTATCCAAAGATTTATAGGAGCCAAAGATGCCCTTCTCAACTTTGTTCATGCTCATCCATGGTCCTACATGTGCATTTGAGACACATCGTGGTATCTCCAGGGTTGCTCTGATGAATTTGGATGGTACCCTTTCTAAAGAGGTGAAACATGAAGGCAATCAGAGTCCCAGGAAGGAGTTGGCTTAGCAGCCTTGCCTGAAAGAGCTCAGGTCGGCCTGGAACAGAACGTCCTCCCTTGGATCGGAAACATTTAATGATGGGGTTGGCAGAGCCTTGTCCAGTATTCTTTCACTTGGGCCCCTGGACAATGGATGAGGTCTGGTGTAAGGTGTCTTTTGGCATCTCTAGGGCACAAGGCCTTAATCTTGGACTCAATACACTATACACCCCAACTGGCACAGGTGAAATGCATTGGCCAATGTCTAGATGGGGCAGAACAGAATTCAGCACAATTGTGGTAAGGCTGAGTGGCTGTTTGGAAGCCTTGGGTCAGAAATGTCAGCATCCTGGGTCTTGGAATTGGGCTGCAGTTCCCCAATAAAGACTTCAACATCCTTTCGATCTGCAGAATGGGTCTTTGCATAGTTCATCTTGTATGCTGGTTGTCCTTTAGACCAGGGCTCTCCAATCTTGACAACTTTAAGCCTGTGGGGACTTCAACTCCCAGAATTTGCTGGTTGGGGAATTCTGGGAGTTGAAGTCCCCCAGGCATAAAGTTGAAGCTTTGCTGGCTGGGGAATTCTGAGAGTTAAAGTCCCCCAGGCTTAAAGTTGCCAAGGTTGGAGACCTC